AAAAAAAAAAAAAAAAAGGTATTTACTTTTAAAATCTAAGATTAAATTTGGCTTCATAGCTTTCTAAGATGCGAGCACATCAGGGACCGAGGTTTACTTGTCTTTTCACCTCGCATACACTTGGTACAGTGCTGGCTCGTCGTCGGGGAGCCTTTCATGTTTCAGAATTGAAGTTCCCTTCTCACTTATACACAAGATTCTGAAGGTTGGTGAATTGAAAATATAAACATCGGGGCATGGCGTCAGGTATTAGAGATAGTATACCTTTCTTGTTTAGTAGCATATTCACAATCCTCTCTGCAAGTACATTTTCCTTTGTGCTTTGCTGGTCTTTTAAAAACAAATACTTTACTAGTCTAAAGAGTGTTTTCTCTTTTCCTCTTTTTAATTGGCCACTAGTCTGGAGCCAAGTCACAAATGCCTGTGACTGTATTCTTCACTGTTCCTGAGGAAACTGTGGGAGAAAGTAACTTTGCCTGTAGTTAACTTGCTTTTTTCACAGCAAAAGAACACAGGGCCTACATAAACTAGATTGGCTCAAAGCATCTGGTTTAGACTTAAACGCACTTATTTTGCTTCATACACCTGGAAGGAGATACTCTTTTTAATTTTTCTCAGAATTTGGTGAGAATCTGAGAATGTGAAATAACCACACTATACATAACATCCACCTTGTAAACCAGTGAATTTTTGTAACTTGTTTGCATAAGAGAGGGCAGAGGGCAGATACAGCATCATCCACCCCACAGAGCTTAAACCCACTGAGACCCAAGCTACTCAGCAGCACCAGATATACCCACACCATGTGTTGTTTGATTTTTCTGCAATAAAAGATTTTTTTCTGTGATGAGTATTTGGGGTACTGTTTTTTTTAATCTCTGCAACATCTTCCTAATCCCTTTACATTATCTTCTTTGTCCAATAATTTCTCCAAATTGCTTATCACTACAAGTACTTCCCTTCCATCATGCGCCCACTGTGAATGTCTTGAAATTCGAAATTTTTTTTTTGCTGTTAATCTCCCCCAGTACGCAGATTATGCACATAGGAAACTGGGCTGCTAATAAAGAAAAAAAAAAAAGACACTGATTTTGTTATTCACAGAGCAAACCTAGCTGTCATTTCAAGAGACTCAAAGCCTTTGTAAGATGAGCTGACTGAAAAAAATCTAGGCCTACTCTGCAGTGATGTTTTTATAATAAACATGTTTATAGGATTGTAAATTTCACACTTCCACATTTCTGCACTTACAAGGTCTTAATCACAATGAATGCCATTTCTGTATTTCTCTTTTGGAAGGGAAATTAGCATTTCCACATGGACTGGAATTGCAGAATTGTTCATAGAGGCTGTGGAATTTTGTTTCTACTATGATGGCTATAATGATTTCTTTGTAGTTTATGTTTATTCAGATAACATAATTTACCTCTAAAAGCATAACACATTCCAAGTTCCTTTCAATCAATTTGAGTCTAGTTCTGATATTCTTTAGGGTAAAAAAAAAAGGAGAACCTTCTTTCCCAAATAGGTTAAGTACAAAATCATATAGAAGTACATTCATAAGCCAGAAATATAATGTTCTTTTACAAAAATGAGAGACTTCTGTAGCTCTAACAAACTCTCTGCTTTTAAATTTTTTTTTATTACTGCTATAGAATTAGTAAGTTAACAGTAGTACATTAAAAAAGATAGGACCTTGAATAAGTACACATAGTACCATATTTTTACGCAAATAACACATGCCTTCTATGTTTGTTTGCCAACTGCACCCTCCCCCTGCAAAGTATTTTCATAAGCACCGCTATGCTCATTTTGTTTTACATGTTGCTATAAAAAAAAATAGACAGTGACAAAAATAGCTAAAACCAGCAGAGTTAACTCAATCCAACCGAAGTGAAATACCAGTGCCCTGCCGAAGAGCCAGCAGTGATTCCCTGTCATCCAAAGAATCAGAACTAAAGTTAGCCTGGCCTTCAAGCCATCCGTATGTTTTCATCTCCTCAAATTTTGTGAATGGATGGCTGGGTGGATGGACAGATGGATGGATGGATGGAAGATGGGCAGATAAAGCGACACGAGGAGAGATAGCACATAGTAGCACTGGAGAAAATGATTGTAACGGATCACTGCACGTGAAGGTGTAATCTTCATGTGCAAGGGCACAATATTTTTTTGAGGAGATGATGAAGGAATGAAATACCAGATCAGCTGACAAACTGTCCCTCTCCTTCCTTGGCCAACAGGACCCCAGAGAGATGCCCAGGCAGCTCGAGAATTCATCCTGAAGATGTTCGTGGACCTGAACCCAGACAGTGACAAAATAATCTACTCCCACTTCACATGCGCCACAGACACCGAGAATATCCGCTTTGTCTTTGCTGCCGTCAAGGACACCATCCTCCAGTTGAATCTGAAGGAGTACAATCTGGTCTAACCGTGCCTCCTAGACACCTGCCCTTCCCTTCCCCGGTGGGCTATTGAAGATATACAAGAGGGACTGTATTTCTGTGGAAAACAATTTGCATAATACTAATTTATTGCTGCCTGGTCTCTGTGTGAGCGTGTCCACAGAGTTTGTAGTAAATATTATGATTTTATTTAAACTATTCAGAGGAAAAACAGAGGATGCTGAAGTACAGTCCCAGCACATTTCCTCTCTCTCTTTTTTTTTAAGGCAAAACCTTGTGACTCAGTGTATTTTAAATTCTCAGTCATGCACTCACAAAGATAAGAGTTGTTTCTTTCTCTCTCTCTCTCTTTCTTTTTTTTTTTTTCGATTGAGCAAAACGAAGCTGATTTCTCTATTTCCTAACACATCCCTCCCTACTGATTTTTCCCAGGTTACAATGGCCTTATCCTAGTTCCATTCTTGGTCAAGTTTTTCCTCTTGAATGATATAGTCAGGACAATGTCATTCAATTTAAGCCATCATACATCAGCTTAATTTAACAGTTTGTAGTTTTTGCTGAAGGTATTATAAGTATTAATGCTATGGTTTTAAATGTATTGCTCTGGATACAGACATAGAGGTTTTTTAAATATTGTCTTGTCTCACTTTGGAACAGGACAAAGGATACCCATCTTAATGGTTAACTATCATTTCTTTTGAATCTTGACCTTCAGCCATAACTTGGTTATTCAGAGAATTACCCAGAAGTCAGCAAGGCAAGGGCAAGGACACACAGAGTCCTTTCTTTTAAAATGCCATGTGCCATTGTCCTTCCTCCCTCCCCTGCTTCTTTTTCTTTCTTCCACCCTCTCTTCTTTAAATCACAGATGCCAAAAAATAAGCCAACAGACACTACATTATCCCCAGCGACTACTGCTCAGAATCTTTTAGCAGTTTGCTCTTATTTTTTTATTTTTTCGGTTCAAACTTTTCCTTCTTTTTTTGTTTTTCCTTCTCCTTAGGGTTTGGGCCACAATTTTAAATTAACTTTTATTATAGATATGTGTTGCCAAAGCTGGCTTTTTGTAAAAAAAAAAAAATAATAATAATAATAATAATAAAATTAATTAATTAATTAATTAATAAGAAGTTTAAAAAAAGCCGCTATCTTAAAATGTAAGAGAGAAAGACTGTGAAGCCAAAAATGACTGGCTGAGAATGAGCCCAAAACGCCAATTGCCAAACAATTGGCAACTGTAAATTTGATTCTCATGGTCCATTCTTTTCTTTGCCCTTAAGATCGCATTGCTTAGTGTCCACGTTCCATGTTCAGTGTTCAAACTGGCTTTGTGGAAAAGTGTGCTATGTGGTGCAACATGAAATCTGCTCACGTCTCTGTTTGAAGCCAGTTTTTCTCTCTGTTACATAAGGTGGAGCAGGTCTGCCAAGAACATGGGTTTATGGTATTCTGACACCTATAACTGGCAAACTCTGAAATTACTGATGATAGTTTACCACCTTTGGGATCTTCTTGAAACGGTGACTGATTAATTTGAACTTCAGGAAGATGTGTGGACTTAAAAGTAACCTCTTAATGTTCTGTAGAACATGTATTGATGTAAATGAACCTATGAGAAGAGATTTTTGGAACTCTTTATGTGCAATTTTTCAACAAATGCAAAAAAAAAAAAACCACACATGTATTGATGAGCTTCTGGCCAGCAGCTTGAGTCAAAATATGATTTAAGAAAATAAATCATGATTGTTTTAAAGCAGCTGGGAAGTTAGAATTAGGCCATGCTGCTGGCCTCATTTTAACTACAGTACTATCTGGCACTACTGTAAATTTCCATATAATTTACTCTTTGGAAACAACAAAGGGAAGGGAGAAAATTAATGGCTTATTAGATGAGTACCAAAGTTACTGAACAGTAATGGAATGTTCTCATTCTTCACTTTCCCAGCCTCAAACAACATGGGTTACTTTTCTTTGCCTTCCTCAGAAAGCGCCTGTGATTTAACTAGCAAAGAGACTGGCTGTAGATATAGTGCAATTCCGAATGCCCTAATCTTTGTACATACATCTCTCTCTGGATACTGCAGCATTGATACTGGCTTTGTAATCATTCATTTTTTTGGCAGATTGAATGTGCTGTATTGATATGTATCTATGTAATTGTATTGTATGTCTTGTAGCTAATTCACATTTTGAATAATGTTATTTTATTTACTTTTTTAAGAGAGGAGAATGTAAATTTGTCAGTTTATTTCTGACTAGGGATTTTTTTTTTCCATTTAGAAAAGAAGAAAAAAAAAACTTACTATCGTACAGAGCGGTACTAGCATCGTGCTGTATAAAATCATTTGCACATTCCTGAGTAGAGGTATACTGATTATAAGACCCAAAGGTAATTTCATAGCAAAATACATAAAATCAGTCAGAGCTTTTATACAAACATGGAAACCAACTTTGTAGAACTTTTGCCATTTGACCTAGGATTGGAATATGAGCTTTTATACAATTCATATTCTTATTTGGCAAATGCACAGTTTAGTATTACCTCTCTGATGGCCTTTATTAGAAAGGCAGTTTTAGAAGCTATTGTGATCCACTAAGGAAGTGTTTTGACAGCTAGAGACCACTGCTTTGCCTGAAAGGGCGATCTTAAATTTGGTGCAGCAAAAAAAAACAAAAACAAAAAAAAAGTAAACAACAACATTTGAAGGCTTACAGTGTGTATAGAGAAAACCTCGTCACAAGATCATAAGTGTTACAGTTTTAGGGAATCAAGATATTCTATTTAATAGAGCTATAGTAGATATAGTCGATTAAGCCTGATTTCGAAGCTCAAAGAAGCTGAGCAAAACAGGGAAAGATTATTATATTTGTCTTTAAGAAATTGGGAGGGAATTTGCTATGCAGAATTGAGGTTTGTGGCTTCACTGTTCACCTTAGGGTGCATGACAAGATCCCTTCTCTTAAGAAAGGAAAAAATTGATCACCCTAGCCACAGTGATGCATAGAAACCTAACTGTATCCACACTAGTCAATTGAAGCTAAAGGGTTTTCTTTTTTGTTCCTTTGTTTGGGGTTTTATTGAAGGGGCTAGGGGTGGGAAGGGATTCTTTTCAGTTTTGTATAAAAACAAAGTTTACTTATGCTTTCTATTATATTGTGATTGCAAGCATTATAAGCGTGTGCCACTGGCCTCCTTTGTCCATGCTGTAGGTAACCGAGGCCTGTGGCAAGTTTTAGGGTGATGTGGCATGTCTTATTCAGAAACAAGAAAAACACAAAAACCGTTCTTCAGCATACCAAGGCAAGCCGCCACTTCATGACTCACTTAACTCATTGCAGTGTACCAGTTTACAGATGATTTTTCCCATTTTGCGCGACACAGCAGTTCCAATCCTCAGAGAAATCCTTATTTGTAAATTGGAGGTTCCTACTATGCCTTACAGAGCTTAAATTCAGAAGTTTGTGCCTCATGTCTGAAACAAAGGGAAAGAACACACCCATTCAAAAACAAGCAAATCCTCTCAAAACGTCTTTTTTAAAGCATTTCCATATAAAGAGCTCTGTTGAATGTCACGAACAGACTGGGGAAAAAAATCTTCTTAGGGACCTGCATATGTTGTTTACTAGCAGATGATGTCTACAAAAGGTATTTGAAGAACACCTTAAACTTGTGTTTTTGTTTTTGTTTTTTTTTTTGTAGATTAACTAGCAGGTCTAATATTTTAAAAAAAGGTAATTCACCTAAAGGGCAATTTACTTTTTTGTACTTCACACTATCTTGATTGTCAAGGTGTATGAACTGTAATTTTAAAATTTATACTGCCACGTGATTATCAATTTTAGTTGTCATAAGTTAGGAATTGATGAAAAGCTATTTATGCTGGATTTTGGTCAAACTGATTTTATTATTTGCAAAAAATAAAAAAAATTAATAATGGGAAGAAAGGGCTGCATAATGAGATACTGCAAGATTCAAATATTGGTTGGAAATAACCTTCAAATTACCCTCAATTTCCCTTTGTTTTCAGTTTCTCAACAAGAACGAATGAAATGAAATATAGCAGAATGTTAACCCATATAAAAATAAAGTGTACCCAAATATTGTAATGTATATTGCTGCTCTTCTTAAAATTAAATAAGGGTTGAAAACCACTCCATTGGTAATTGACAACATCTCAATTGATGCACATCAGGTGTGCTTGGTGTACATTAATATTTTCTTCCAAAGATACATCTTTGGTTAGAAACGCACACAAAAGTTAAAGCTAGTGATAGTGTATGTATATCTGTCTCTACATATTTCCAGCATATGTAGCATTAATAGATCTGTCCTGGTAACTGTGTCTTTGGGATTTAAATTAGGAAAAGAAATGGCTTAGCTGCGTATGATTAGCTAGAGATTTTTGGAGCCACACCTGCTATTTAGTAGCTACTTAGCGCAGAGTCTAAACTTGTCGTTTGTTTTTCTCATGAAATAACAAACCATTTCCTGCTGTCTTCCCAACTACCACTGCCCTTTCAATAACACTCTCACCTCTAGAACCATATGTTCAAAGTATGCGCACACTTAGCACATAGTAGGTGCTCAGATATTAATTTCCTTCTTACCTTCCTTCCCTACTGTATATCCTCCATTTTCCCATATGAATCGAACCCAGTAATAAACAACATCTACATGTTATGATAAATGTCTATTCGGTGAAATTAGATCTTCCTTGGGTCAGAGGAATTCTGACTTTCATATAAGCTTTTGGTAGAAAAATAAAAATAACGGAGGAAGATAATTCTTCAGTAGATTTTTTAAGTTTCAGAAAGAAAGGTGGAAATTACGATGTAAATTTGCCCAGGTTACTTTACTGAAACCTGTTTTTGGTGGGCGTCTTTTCCTCAAAGAACTCTCTAAATGCAACTTCTTGCTGGATCCCTCACCCATCATCATGTTGGAAACCCTTACTAGACCTGTGTATTTAGGGAGTTTTGTCAGAAAACATTTTTAACTTGCAGTATTTAAAAAAGAATCATATTTACTGTTCTTAAAATGTCATTCAAAATGCATGTATTGTCTATTGTTTGGGGGTGGGAACTAGTTTTGCAAAAAACACCTAATGTTGTATAATAATGCCCCATTGATCTTGCTGGTTAAAAATACAGTATTTTTGGCCATAATTTTGTACAACAGTATTCTTCATTCTTGAGTTTTGCTTCTCTTGAAGTTGCCTAAGCCCCTCTTAGAATGCTTTTTATTATTATTAGGAGTATTGGAAAAATCTTCTCCTTAGAACACCTTATACTGATTCCACATGCATTTTCCAAAGTAGAGAGGTTTAATAGTTTACAAACCAACAATTCTTGCCCCTCTGTTTATAATCAGCAATGTCAGTCTTCTTTAGTGGAAATGTCCATATTGGTAGTATTTAATAAATCTGCCTTAAAAAAAATTACCCTAGATTGTAATCAACTATTCAAAAATGTAAATAGTTGCTCAGTAGTGACTTACAAAGAACTTACAAAGAGACAGTATTCTGATTAGTAAAGAGAATTCTCATGTGTTACCCCTGGTTTGCTAAGAAGCACACTAGACTAAATAAAGAGAATTGTTTGCCCAGGAGTTTTCCCCATTTCAAAACTGGTGGTGCACAGGTCAATTCCACTTGGAAAAATGGGCCTGGAAGAGGTGTCCTTTATGTCTGTGGCTTTTAGAAACATACAGCTGGGATTTTGAGGTCGGCTAAAAAACTAGCTCTTTCTCTAGGAATTTTGTGGGATTGGGGTAATTGTAGCAAGTGTTTTCCTAGAAAATCGGTACTAAGGTGAGAATTTAAAACCATAACAAAGGCAAAACCTGTTACTGCCGCTTGTCATCAAGGCTTTCCAACTGTGCTCCACAGGGTTTTCGATGGCTGATTTTTCAGAAACAGATCACCAGGACTTTCTTCCATGGCACCTCTGGGTAGACTGCAACCTCTAACCTTTCAGTTAGCACCCTCAAAAAAGTTGCTTCCGAGTCAAATCTGACTCGTGGCAACCTCATGCGTTATGAGTAGAACTGAGCTCCATAGTGTTTTCTTGGCTATAATCTTTACGGAAACATCGCCAGACCTTTTCCCCATAGCACTGCTGGGTGTGTGGGTTTGAACCACTAACCTTTAGATAGCAGCCAAGTGGGTTAACCATTTGCACCACCCAGGGACTCCCCTCTAGCACACAGGTCTACCAATACTATCATCCTGAAGACCTTCAGCACAGAGGAAAAACGGGCTCCAAACAGGAAATCGCTGAATATTGAGCCAAATATTTTAACTTGATTTTTTGATTCATAGAGCAAACCTGCCCATCAGGGATGGATTACCCAATAAGCAAATTACACACTGGCTTACTTGTGCTTACTTACTAATCTGTAGCGCACAATTTCACATGGGTTTGATGTAGTGAAATCCATGTGAAATTGTGTGCTACAGATTAGTAAGTAAGCACAAGTAAGCCCATGCATACCTTGTTTATTGGGTAATGTCCCCCTGCTGCCCAGATTTGTCCTATATTTCTGGAAGCAATAAAAGTAGTTAGTCTGAATGCTTCCCAGCCTTGTTCTTCAGTCAGTCCTGCCTCTTCCCGTTTTTCTCTCAGGTCGTGATATCCTGAGGGCTGCCACTTGAGAGACCAGTTAAGCTCTTGCAAAAAAAACTTGATACTAAGGGGAACAACGGTTCACTTGGTAATGTGTACAGAGCAATTTCTGATGGTAAATTAGCCAGTTTCTTACTTTTATTGCCTAATTTTGAGTCATTACCATGCTCATCTGTTCCTCCAAGCTCATATTGAGATTTGATCACGGTTGGAGATTACAAAGCTGTGGTCAAAGGTGGGTTTCTACCTGATCGGTTTTGTTTTGTTTTAAATTATCCAATACATTGCCATTGTTCCTTTGTTTCATTGCCATGCCTAATTGAAATATCGGTCCAGCTATTACCAGGAACTGAACTAAATTCCTTTAAGGGAGCCCCATAGATCCCTGCAAAACACGGCCCTGTGTTATATATAACACATAGGTGTCTTTAAAATCTATGATGCATAGGGAGTTCCTAAAGCATTCTTTTTTCCTTGAACTCTTATGCCTCAAGACTAGAAATTTGATCTGTTTTGATTTGTCTCTCCTCCGGTTTTCCTCAAGGATACGAAGGCCAGAATATTTTTCTGTCCCATAAGCCTGTGGGTAAAAGAAGGCAACTTATCCTCTTTAATTAAGAAGGTAATCACACCTGGCCATGATAGTGCACTGGATAGTGTACCTGGGTCCCTGCCCTCCACAGCCCTGTTCCGAGCCCTTCACAGTCTTGGAGGAGGTGTTTTTGCAGCTCAGAGGACTGGGCCAGTCCCACAGGGATAGAGTGCTTAAAGGGTCCCTGGGACTTGCAGTTGGCTCCTCGTTTGCACGATATACTGGTGTGGTGGATCTTTAAAATACACTTAGAAATGAGAGGACCAGGAAAAGGCAGACTGGCAAATGAAGTTTGGCAAACTCTTAAAAAAAAAAAAAAGCCAAGCCAGTTGCCATGGAGTCAATTCCGACTCAAGGGAACCCCATGAGTGTAGAACTGCATTCTAGTTTTCAAGGCTGTGACCTTTTGGAAGCAGATCACCAGGCCTTTCTTCCTAGGCACCTCTGAGTGCGTTTGAACAGCAAACCTTTCAATTAATAGCAGAGCACTTAACATTTGCACCACCGAGGGACTCCTGTCAAACCCTAAAAAACCGGTTGCTGTGTGTGAGTCGATTCCTGCTCATAGCAAGCCTATAGGACGGAGTAGAACTGCCCCCATAGGGTTTCGAAGGCGGTAATCTTTACGGGAGCGGACTACTGTATCTTTTTCCCGCAGAGCGGCTGATGGGTTTGAACCGCCAACCTTTCAGTTAGCAGCTGACCAATTCCACACTGTGAATCCAGCTGCCAGGAAGACAACATAACTGCTGACAAGACTGTGGGTCTGCTCTGGGGTGAGCCTCACCCACGATGGCATGTGCTAGGAATCCCGGGACTGCCCGCTAACAAACTTCCGGTCAAGGCACCAGCCCCGGCATGCCTCACCAGAGGCTATAGAAGCAATGGTTACATCACCCGGAGAAGAGCAGCATTAACAGGTTTTATTCTGCCGGTTACAAAAGGACCCACCCCAGTGATAGCATGGTAAATGGTTAATAATTTAGGGGGGAGGGTGTAGGTTTGTGGTACCGATTTGTTGTGGTTGCCGATTTCCATGGTGTAAATACACCCACCGTGACCAATTCTAAGCTACCAATGGGACCTCACTGAACTGAGTTGGGAAGAGATGCTAAAAGCTGGCTCTCTTGGGCTGCTACCAGCTACTCCAGCCATCCCACCCTCTGTCCCTTCAGACACACCTTTCTGTTAACTCGGGGAAATGTCAGCAGGAAAGATCTATCTGCTTATTACACCCAGAGAATATGCACTCTGTCCCCTGTGACTTGAAGCTAATTGCCAAAGAGCATAGGGGCACATTGCCCAGAGGGGCCCAGAGAAGTAGCAGCTCAGCTGAAGTATGAAACATTCAAACTCTCCAAAGGAGCAGCTGAAAGGGATAGACAGGTACTTGAAGCTAGGGAGGAAGAATGCGAAGTCAGTTTGGACATCAGACATCAGCCTAACGCTTTGTGAATGTGTGCATATTTATTAAATGTCTCAGCATCTCCAAGTGGCTTGATCACTGCTGAACAAATTGAAAAATCAGTTTCTGTCGAGTCAACTCCGACTGATGGCGACCCCACGTGTGTCAGAATAGAACTGTGCTCCATAGGGTTTTCAGTGGCTGATATTTCTGAAGTACTTCTCCAGGTCCTACTCCTGAGACACCTCTGGGTGGACTCAAACCTCCAGCCTTTCTGTTAGCAGCTGAACACGTTAACCATTCGCATCACCCAGGGACTATGAACAAAGAGAAAAGGCCCAAAAAGAAAAGGTATAAATGCTTGTGTCATTTGGGTGAGATTAATCCTAAATGTTTTAAAAACATAACTCTATACATATGTGGGTATACACATAAAATGTAAAAATGGTTTGATCTTGTTCAAGCTGCGCATACAGATACATA